AGAAAGTGAGAAAGCAAACCACCATGTCCAGGACTTGAACCATGGTTGGCCAAGTGGGAATCCAGTGCCCTTATCCACCACCCCACCTGCTGGCCCCTTCCCCTGCCTTCTTTCTTGTGAGGGAAATCACCAGGCAGCAAACAAGCCCATACCTGGGCATGGAAATGAATGAATAGCATTCAGCAACCCCTCCCCCCATCTTACACACACACACACACATATAAGGCTGGCTGCTGAGAGGGCTGAGTGAGACAATGCCTTGAGTTGGAGGGTGGTGAGGGATGGGGGCACTAAGCACAGCACTGAAGCCCTCCATGAAACTTTGCCAGCAAGAGCCCTAAGCATCACCTGTGGGCCTAACTTGGGGGATGGCATCCATCTCTTCTCTCTCCTTGGTCCTAAAAGGAGTGTGTCCCAAGCAGATACGAAATACCTTTCCGACATGGTTTCCCAGTGGGTCCACCTGTCCTGCTTAAACTGCCAAACTTCCCCTGCCTTCTTTTTTTTTTAAAGAATTATTTATTTATTTATTTCCATTTGTTATTGTTTTTTTTTTTTTTCCTTTATTTGACGAGAGAGAGAGAGAGAAAGAGAAAGTGAGAAAGCAAACCACCATGTCCAGGACTTGAACCATGGTTGGCCAAGTGGGAATCCAGTGCCCTTATCCACCACCCCACCTGCTGGCCCCTTCCCCTGCCTTCTTTCTTGTGAGGGAAATCACCAGGCAGCAAACAAGCCCATACCTGGGCATGGAAATGAATGAATAGCATTCAGCAACCCCTCCCCCCATCTTACACACACACACACATACACACACACACACACACACACAAGCTGCCTTATCTGGGCAAAGCATTAGAGGCTCCATCCCCAGACACCTCCATGGAGCCCTTCGCCATTAAGTGGTACATCATGGCATATGTCAGCCTGAATTAGCAGGCAGGCTCATCACATTAAGCCGAAGCTCAGGGCTGGCAGCTCCCACTTTGTAATGCCTCTTGATCCTGGCTGTCATGCTCCCTCCCACATCACCTCAGCCACAGGAAACCTCTGCAGACAATGCAAAGCAATGAAGCCGGCCCAGGGAAGAGTTTACGGGGAGCCACAGGAAGTCTTGCAGATTCCATTTTTCTGTGGCTTTGGGGAGTCTTACTTTGATCTCTACTACCTGGGGGCAGGTGGGAGGGCAAAGGAAGCAGGTTGCACTCAAAAGCTCCAGGTGGGAAGTTCCTTTGTGACAAGCGACAAAAGCATGACACGTATTTCTAACAGCACACAAAGCAGATACCCTGTTACACCACCATGTATACCTGTGACACCTTACTGAGGTTTCTCTACTACAGCACGGCTATGAAACCACTGGTATTATTGCTATCAATCACACTAATACATCCCCCTGGCAATTTATTTGTGTCACTTACCGAGCATCTGTCACTTCCTACCCTGTGTGGTATTTCAGAATGGCACAGTACAGTGGAAAGAACAGTAGCTTTGCAGTCAGGTAGGCCATGGGATCAAATCCTGGCTTTGCTTCCTAGCTGGACTACCCTGGGCCAGTGACTTTGCCTCTCTGACTGTGAGACTTCTCTTTGTTCTTTGTACTAGCACCTATTTCTCAGAGTTATTAAAAAAAATTACCTGAAGTTCTATAACTCTTGACATACATAGATGCCCAATAAATATCTCAGAGTAGAGTGTCTAAGGGCAGAGTCACTTGTTTTATTCATTACAAGTGTAGCCTTAACTCAGGCATGCCCCTAATTGGTGTTTAATGGTGTACCACCTTCCTTTCAATAATGATAACCTCATTAGTCCTCCAACTTGCTCTCCATTAGTCATCCGGAATGATGTGCTCCTATCACAGTTGTAGCAAGCCCTTTCATTTCTTCACATCCTTCTTGGGATACTGGCAAAACTCTTCCTTGGCAAAGTTCCTATTAATATCTTCGTCTCAACTACATTATCGATCCTTCACTTGTCTTGTTCTCTACCGCCAGACCTTTGCTTTTACTGTTTCTGACTAGAACATTCTTCCCTCCCTTCCTAGACTGGTTAAACCCCTACCCCCACCCTTCCTATCCCAGAGCAGTTATAAATCCTCAGGGAAGTCTCTCCTGATCTCCCTGACCAGATTAAATCTCCTTGATACTATATCCTCTGTTTTAAACACTTATCCCACTTCCTTAGGAGATAATATAACTCATGTCTATTTCCGCCAGCCCTATGATGGCAGGACCTGTGTTGGGTTCATTCACAATTAAACTCCAGGATTTCATATAGTGCTCAGTAAATGTGGCTGAAAGAAGGGGGTAGGAGTGAAGTAGAGTGCAATTCATCCCAACAGATGCCCACAGCTACCTCTCATGGTAATGAGAGTACAGCAAATATGGTTAGTGACTTTCAGATAGTACGACTGAGCCTGGAAGGAGCAGGTTAGTTAGTTGCCCATGGTCTCACAGCTTGTCAGTTCATGGCCAATCTGTGATCAGAACCCAGGTCTCCCAGACTGACTATTCCCAGGCTTATGCAATGAAACTGTTATCCATAACTGGGGTGGAAGACTCCAAAGACTTTCCTCCCTCCCCTTCCCTAGTATGCAGAGAACCCCTGACTCTCCCTACATCCACATCTGAAGCTATATATAGTTTCCGGGATACCCGGCATCACATCTGTCTAGAACTCTGTCTCCTCAGGAACATTCACTTAATTTAGAAGCTGCCTTAAAGGTGAACTAAACTCTCTCAAGATGGAGCTGTGCGAATTCTGTTTTCTGAAAGGTTACATTGTCCAGGTAACTGCACTTCACAAAATTTAACCTTTGCTTCTGTCTTCTCACCACCATCTGGAGTGAAGCCAATCCAGAAGTCTAAGTCTTAATCTACCACCAGGTATCAAATCATTCAGGACTTGATTTCAGGTGATGACTTTCTTGAAAAGAAAATAGCTTTGGGTCCTCTTATTTTCTTGTTTCTACTAATGGACTGCACCTGCGTTGTGTAGGTTTTGTTTGAGAGGATTTCTGGTCTTTCTACTCTTGGGCATTTGTGTTTTCACTTTCTCAGGAGTCAGTTCTCCTGAATTCAAAGAAGGAATCAGAAATGGGTCCTTGCAGGACCAGCAGTTGGCATAATCGCTATGTCACTGGACTCCCATGTAGTCAACTGCAGTTTGAGTCCCCCAAGTTGTAGCTTAAACTCATGCTGGGCATGTGTGCGTGCATGCCCAAGATCCCAAGAGGAGAATGGAGGAGAAGGGATTGTGGTGTGGCCATCCCCCTGGGGTTGATTTCTCACTTTCTTTTTCTCTGTCTCTCTCTGTCTTTCTGACAAGCACATGCGTGCGCTCTTGAGCAAAAACCCCTCGAAAAAAAAGAAAAAGAAAAAGAAAAAGAAATGGATCTTTGCTTTGATGTGCCAGAGGGAGATTCATGTGTGGAAAATTGTTTAACTGCCTAGTTCTCTGACCTGCCAGGAAGAAAACCTTTACTGGCACTTACTCTTGCTCATTCATTCAACCAATACTTAGCGTGTACCTTCCGTATGTCAGTCAGATGACGTATAAGTTGCTGTTGGAACTAGGAGTTTTGAATGTGAAAATGGACACTTCCTGGCTGATTCCCAAGACAAAATTTATAAACCAAGATTTTTCTCAAGTCAACCAGGAGATCAAGGTGTACTCGTATATATTAATGGCTGACTATAAGGTTTCTCAACATGCCCTAAAGGATTGAGGACACAGCCAGGCAGGAGTCAACCTCTCCAAAGCCATGCAATGAAAAGGCATGAAAGATAAATTTAGGCTACAGTTGAGCTTAATATTTCTGAAATATTTCCACAGCTTTCTTTTAAAAATATTTGGTTGTTGGAAAAGTCATGACTCATTTTTAATAGAAAACATAGAAAAAATATGTCATGACTTCTTTTTTCCCCCAAAACCCAATAGATTCATGCATCGTTTTGTTTGTTTGTTTGTTTGTTTTTAGTAGAGTTTTTTTTTTTTTTTGAGAGGTTTTTTTGCTATAGGGCACGTGTGCTCGCCAGACAGACAGAGAGAGACATAGAGACAGAAAGAGAGAAATCACCCCCCAGGGGGGATGGTCACGCTGTAATCCCTTCTCCTCCATTCTCCTCTCAGGATCTTGGGCACGCATGCACACGCGCCCGGCGTGAGTTTTAAGCTACCGGGTCTGGGACGTGAACTGCGGTCGACTACGTGGGAGTCCAGCGACATAGCCATTACACTAACTGCTGGTTCCCTTTAGTAGAGATTTTTGCCAATAGGATGCATGTACTTGCCAGAGAGACAGTGAGAGAGAAAGAAAGAAATTGCCCCCCAACGGGATAGCCACACTGCAATTCCTTCTCCTCCATTCTCTTCTCAGGATTTGAGGCACACACACACTCACACACACACATACACACACACACATACACACATGCCTGGTTATGAATCTCAAGCCACCAGGTCTGGGACTCAAACCACTGTTGGCCATGTGGGAGTCCAGTGCCTTAACCACTATGCTACATGCTGGCCCCTAGATTTATGTTAAAAAAAAAAAAAAAAAAGAGGAATAGCAACTCTGGAAAATAATTGACATCCCAGAGAATCCCTGATGAGGCTACCTGGAGGGGGCTGAAAAAAGTTTAGAATTTATAAAGGATGAAATTTCCCAGCAGGGCTGTACTGGTGATATCCTTGAAACAGGAGTAAGAGGGAACAGAAACAACGTATGTTTTGTTATCTGCCTCCTTCTTCTCTAACTTTGGATTCTTTAATGTGTTATGATTTTGCCTCTGATGATATAGGACGTAAGCCTGAACACTCTTTTCCTAAAGATGAACTTTGCAAGTGATTTGTTTCTCTCACATGCCAGGTGCCTGTCCTGAGACCCATGGACCTGATGGTGGAGGCCACCCCACGAAGAGTATTTGCCAACGCACACACGTATCACATCAACTCCATATCGGTCAATAGTGACTATGAAACCTACATGTCTGCTGATGACCTGAGGATTAACCTATGGAACTTTGAAATTACCAATCAAAGTTTTAGTATCCTTTCCTTGTGGCCACTAATGAATGGGCCTGAATCAGCAATATTCAGGTAGGAGTGGGCTTGGGGAGAGATGGAATAGAAAGGAACAGTCACAACCTTAACACCTAGCACGTGTGGAGAACTTGTCCCTTTTAAAACACATTGGTATCTGTGACATTCTTTCATGCTAACAGTAAGTTGGGAAAATATGGAATTATACTATATCATGGGCCAGACTAACCCTGGCTCGGCCCTGAATTTCCTCCTTCAAGCAGAGGCATGAATTAATATTAGAGGGGATGTTGTCCAAGATAAGATAAAACCCAAGAGTTCCTTTAGAGTTCCTACCTATAGGGTAGGATTCCTAAGTGGTCTGTGTGGACAGCGTGGCCCACAGGTGTACATGAGATGGTTTCTGTTGTGTCGTAATAGTAAAAATAATAGCAGCTGCTATTTAGCGCTCCAAGCACTTGCACTAGGGCACTTGGTATGAGTTCTCCTTTGCACCCCTCTCTTTAAAGATACTCTGCATACAGAAAAGTGTGTATGTGATAACTGTGTAGCTGGTGGAATTCTACAGACCAGACGCACCTATAACCTGCATCCACATCCAGAGACAGAACTTCACTAGCTGGCCTTAAGCCCCATCATGCTTCCTTCAGCTTCTACCCTTTAAGGGTATATTTGTGGTAATAACCTGATAATGTAAGTATTTTTATCTCCTGTTTAAAATTTAGAGACATCAAAAAGATTGCTGAATGAGTATCTGAGCCAGTATTTCTATCCTACTATATCGATCCTTGATTTAAATCATTAAAATGGTCATTGATACAGTATCTGTGTGTACTCCATCCTTCCCCTCCCCAAACCTGATGTTTTACTAGAATTCGAAGTCTTGATTCATGGTTTTGCTATCAAGTCTGCTAAGCAACTAGCTTGAGAGTCAATATTAGGGACCAGCAGGTAGTGTAGTGGTTAAGGAGCTGTACTCCCACATGGCCAACCGTGGTTCAAGTCCTGGACCTGACAACTTGCATTCTTACTTTCTTTCTCTCTTTCTCTGTCTCTCTCTCTGTCTCTGGTGAGTTGCATGGGCCTTATAGCAAATTAAAATGTAATCATAATAAAAAATAAAGTTAAATGAATCTCTTTTACTGAAAGAGTAATTATGTCAATATTGGCTCTTCTCTTTCACTTACCAGCCTGCCCTATTCCCACCCCAATCTATCCACAAGCTCTGCCAATGCTTCCTATAAAATGTACCTCAAGTCAACTCATATCTTCCCATCTCCACTCCCACCAATCACTCACACTAAGATAAGCCACCATTGTCTCTCCTCTGTGTGACTGTAATAATCTTTTGTCTGGTCTCCATTACTTCTTGCTCTTCTATACAATACATGCCCACATAACAGAGTGGACCTTTCAACATGTAACCCAGATATGATTCCTTCCCTACTAAAAACTCTCTAGTAGCTTCCTGTGAACTTAGAATGGAGTCCCAGCTACTAACCTTGGCCTATGAGTTCACACATCTGGACCCCGCCTTCCTCCTGGATACCCTATCTTACCACTCTTCCCTAATTCACTCTGCTTCAGCCAGTCAACTGCTTTCCTGTCTCTGTATAATCTTTGATCCATTCTTTAGATTTTTCTATTCCTTCTTTCTGTGTCCCCCAGAGTTCATATTCAGGCCTCAATTTAATATCACCTCCACGCAGGTGATTTTAAATTCTCTCATTAACTCCCAAGTAGCCCCCAATAACTTATCCTATTATCCTCGCAGTTCTTATCCCTACTGGAAATTATTTTTAATTTGTGAATATTTGTTTTCCTCGTAAAGTTTACGAGGACAAGGACTTTGTATGACCCACAGCTGTATTCTAGTGCATAGAACATTCTGACATCTAGAAAAGTGGTTGAACCTGTCAAGTTTGAAGTAGTAAATCATCAAAGGGCAGGCATTCAGTAGATAGTTGATCATGGAATGTAAACTTGAGTGTTCTGATATAAAATAAGACCTCATGAGGGCTGAAACACTCAAAGATTGTTGCTCTTATAAAATCCAGCATGGATAATCCCGATAAGCAGGCAGCCTCCTCTAATCAGTGCTTCTGGGACTCAGTCCTCTTCTGTCTTGCAGCTCCCCAGTGTCATCGTGCTTATCCACATCAGGACAGCAAAAGGGAAAGATCACTGAGGGCCACATGTAGGAGACTCCTATGATCCAGGCCCCAGAATTGCATGTATCCCATTGGCTAGAGCCCAGTCATGTGGCTTTCTCTAATTGCAAAGCAGGTTGGGAAATGTAGTCCGACTGTGGGCTCAGCAAAAGAAGACTTGGTTTTGGTGTACAACTAACTGGTCTGTACTACAAAGAGTGCACAGTAGTCCCCAGGGGATTTTCAGAGGGAAGACGGCTTTAGTCAGGTTGTGGCAATTATGAGATATGTTTGGAGACACTGAGAACTGACCATCAGACCCATGTTGGTATCTTTTGTTGATCACGGAACAGACTTGACATTCTGTCTGGGCCTGGGAGAACCTGCCTACAGATTTTGCCTGGCAATGCAGCTGCTCACAGAATGAGTGTGGGTGGTGGTTCCCTTTCTCTCTTTACATCTATTCTGAGAGCCAGAAATCTGCTCAGGCTCAGCTGGCTGTCACTCTGAGCTTCTGCCTTCCCCAGTCTAGGTGACATGTTTTCTGAATTTTGCCTCTAGGCCCTCAAGGGGGAGGGAAGTTTCTTTAGGCATATTCGGAGACAGATGCCTTGGGGAGAATACAAGGAGGAAATAATAATAGTGTGGTTTAGGTTATGTGCTGCAGATGTGTGACAGCCTGCCAGATGCTAGCATACAAATGAGACCATGCCATTCACCCTTAAAGCAGCCATACGTCCAATAATCATTGTCATCATGAGGATGATGATAACTGATATCTATATAGTTCTTTTCAACCAGACCGCCCTAAGCACTGAGCAGACTTTACAAACTGGGACCCTTTGCCTCCTATCACTGAAGTGTAGCCACCTCTGGGGTAGGAGACGGCCAACTTTCAGAACAACCTTGGAAAACTACCAACCACCAGGCAGGCCTTCCCTCATGTGTTGTTTTGCACCTACTTCCATCATGCTTCTTATCCACAAAAGAAACAGACGAAACATGGCTTAGGATAGAATAATAGGGATTTCCCTTAGTGTGGTATGAGCCCACTGGGATGGTAGGCAGAATGCTTTTAAGCAATATGTGGACTGTTTTGTTTTCATAATTATGTATTCATGGTAATGAATGTTAGAAAACACAACTATCATGACAGTTCTCTGATTTAATAGATACTGAAAAATCCATTTAAATTACAAAATAAGTATTTGTAAAGTATTAAGGAGTAAGACAAATGGTCTGGGGATACAGTTGGAAAAATGGCATGACTTCCAGTGACTGGCATTGAGTGTGACATTGACATCATGGTTGAGAACTCAATGTTTTGAGTGCAACAAACATCAAGTTCCTGCCAAGCTCTAACACTTTTCAGCTGCAAAAACTTTAACATGCTTCTCAATTCATTCAAGCCTCAATTTCCCTACTTCATTATCTGTAGAAAAGGAGCCCTATCAGAGAGGATTGTGAGAATTAAACACACACACCCTGAGAGCAGCACCTTGCTAATAAGTAATCGATAAACAGGGACTAAAACAATCATGATTATTGAAAGGACAAGGAAACTAGAGAAGTTCAATGTAGCATGGTGGATTCTATTTTGCTGTGTTCATATCTAGGTCATCTCAATTCTAGATTCCTCCTTTGGCTCTACAACTGGGTACTCTTTCCAAGATGCTGCTTGTCATACCGTGGTTACCAAATATTTTCAGGACTCTGAGGTTTAGTGCCTTGTGTTATTCTGTTTGTTTGTTTGTGTTTAGGTTTTTTGTTTGTTTGTTTTTTGTCATAGGGCACATACACTGGCTGGAGAGAAGCAGAGAGAAGGAACATGAGAAATCGCCCTACCCTCCTGGGGGGTGGGGGCATGCTGCAGTCCCTTTCTTTCATTCTCCTCTTAGGAGGATTTTAGGCATGCATGCTCATGTGCCTTGCATGATTTTCAAGGTACCAGGTCTAGGACTCAAACTGTGGTCAGCCATGTGGGAATCCAGCACCTTGACCTCCACACAACCTGCTGGCCCCACCTTGTGTTTGGTATCAGATCACATTCTTCAGCCTCATAGCATCTGGTGATGAATCCTCTCCCTCTATCCATAAACAGTCTACCCCCATTTTATGTGACAGGTTTTGGGTTATAATAGTAAAACTTTGTTCTTAATAAGTTAACTCCATAAGACTATAATAACCCATTTCTAGAGTGGTAATTTTATAGGACAAGAGGCAGCCCTAACCTTTTAGAAAATTAAACTTGCTAATTTTTTTTGAGAGGTTTTTGCTATAAGGTGCATGTGCTCACCAGAAAGACAGAGAGAGACAGAGAGATAGAAAGCGAGAAATCACCCCCTGGGGGGTTGGCCATGCCGCAGTCCCTTCTCCTCCATTCTCCTCTCGGGATCTGGGGCACGCAAACACACACACACCTGGCATGAGTTTTAAGCCACCGGGTCCAGGATTCGAACCGCAGTCGACTTCATGGGAGTCCAGCGACATAACCATTAGGCTAACTGCTGGTCCCGCTTCTTTTTTTTTTTTGAAACTTGCTATTAAAAGATGCTGCTTCTTGGGAACCAGCAGTTAGTGTAATGGCTATGTCGCTGGACTCCCATGTAGTAGACTGCAGTTCGTGTCCCGGACCCAGTAGCTTAAAACTCACACCGGGCGCGTGTGTGTGCGTGCCCAAGATCCCGAGAGGAGAATGGAAGAGAAGGGATTGCGGCGTGACCATCCCCCCTGGGGGGGGTGATTTCTCGCTTTCTGTCTCTATGT